GGCCAAAATGTTCTTTTAAAGTTGTGGATGAGCTTTCCCAAGAGTTGCCTAAGAATCCCTTCAAAATTTGGCCTTATCCAAAGCTTGAGTAGGCATAACAGTCGATCTCGCCGTCGGCGGGCTTTTGAAGAATTTTGTCCTATAGTCTCGGGAAAAAAACTGGCCGTCGGCGGCCTAGTTCAAATCTTCACATTTTGGTCCTTTTCGCTCCAAATTCGCTCCTTTTTGTATATTTTTTCTCCAACGACCCTAATTAATCATTCCTGCAACAAAACATCAAAAATACATTTCTTTAAAGTGCAATATCATTAAAAACAGTATAAAATAGGTATGAAAATCTCAACATATTTTCCTTTGGTCAATTCCATGGCATTTTCAAGACCCAAGAAACTTTCAGTAAGGGTGCTTGTTGGCTTGGAGGCACCTTAACAGATGTTATTCGTGGACTCACTTCTTTGTGTTGATTGGATTCACATCCCAAATATTTCTTTATTGAAGGTCGTTGACCACTTATTCCTGATATTGTAGTTATTCAACAAAGCATTGTCATGTAGATTTTCTAGCTCAATCATTGTACGCCAGGTTTTTTCAAACTCTTCCTCCGAGTTGCGTCTCCCTATGCATTTAAAAAAAAAACTCATTAACTCTCTTGGTGCTGACACCACAATACTTTTGAAGATAATTTCTTGTAAATATGTCATTAGCATAGTCTATGTCTGGTGTGTGGAAGACACTCTTTAATGGCTCTGACCATTGTTTGATCCTGGTTAGTGAATATTGATCTTGAATGCTTGTTATCCATTATTCAGATAACTGATTTGAATAGTAACTTGAATGAGTCAATTGTTTCATCTGACAAAAAGCCAACTCAAAATAGAACATTCTGCTAGTGGTGGTTCACACCGACAATAAGAGCACAACATAAATTGTATTTATTAAGTTATTTATTAAGTCTATATTATTAAGTCTATAACTTATATCAAATATTATGCATCCCTAAAGTAATCGTAATCGAGTCTGGATATCTCATCACTCCAAAAGAAATTCAACAAACTACCAGACTAATCAATCTGGACGTCCCATGCAAACATAGTATCCTCAGCTTGCCTCTCAGTGAACAATTGTAGAAGAGAATTAGCGTCCCCACGTTCAATTTTAATTTTTCTCTCTCTTTTTATGAAATTATAAGCATTCATCCTCGTGCAATCAAGATTTTCCACAGCCCCAAATTCTATAGCCAGAAAACTAAATGCATCGCTTGTTCTAATCCCTGATTGTGTCATTGATCTAAGCACTTCTGCATTGATATCACCCATCTTTCTGCTGAAACACAATATATGTTTGTTATCGTCCACCGTCAAAGGATGGTTATGAATTTCTATAAATTTTTTAACTGACCAGTTACCTTCGACATCGACGAAATATCAGATCATGGATGGACAACCACCATCTTCTGTACTTCACTGTTACATTGTTATTCAATTCTTTCTTGAAATCAGCTTTACCACAAATGAAATCTTTTGCCTTAATCATTTTTTAATTCAACCAAAAACCAACGTGGTCATTGTCTCCCCTCTTATGTACTTCACCGTTACATTGTTATTCAATTCTTTCTTGAAATCAGCCTTACCACAAATGAAATCTTTTGTCTTAATTATTTTTTAATTCAACCAAAAACCAACATGGTCCTTCGCACAATAAATCTAATTTGGTGTGCATATGCACAATATTATTCATACGTTTCTTTCTCATTATGAATCACTTTGGGAAACAAGTTTTTCACAATTGGATCAATGTACACAGTCACATGCTCGGGGAATTGCAAATTTTAATATATCACCATTTGAATGACAAAAATAACGCCTAAACAAAATCAATTAAAAAATTCAATAAGACTAGAATGAAACGATACATAAATAATAACATAATACCACAATAATAATACAAAAATAATATCATAATAACACAAAGTAGTTCAAAGCCAATAATACAACAATAATACAATAATAACACAGAAATAACACTAGTTACAAGGACAACATAACATCATGATAATACCAAAACATATGAAATACATTATGGTTGTATTATGGTATTATAATAACACAAATGTACAGTTCAAAACGACTGTGTTATTTTGGTATTATTATGATGTTATTATGATAATATTAAGATGATATAAGTGATTTTTTAATTCTCGTATTATCATTCTAGTGCTATTTTGCTGTTATTATGGTTGTATTATGATTCTAAATTATTAATCATAAACACCATGATAATACCTAACTAACATAATATCCACCCTCCAACATAATAGTAATGTTGCAATCAAACCATATAGTAATCAAACCAAAACAACTCCTTAATATTCCAATCATTAGGATGCCATTAATAACACCAGTAAATAGAAAGAAATAGTAAATAGAAAGAAATAAGGAAATAAGTTCACCTACGGAACGCTTCGTGCCTCAGTTAATAAGCTCATTGCATCATTCTCACAATCATTTTGTGATTTCATCACCATTTCTTGGTCGAGAGAGAAATCCATCGGCAAAATCCTAGTTGTCGAACAAGATTCCGAATAAAAACGCAAATGGAAAAAGAAAATAATTCTTGAACCTTAAAAGAAATTAAAGCTGAAAATTCTTTTTTCCAGTTTGGCGGGATCTAAAATGACAAAATTTACGATTTGGCCGGATCTGAAGGTGACAAATAGACGCTTTTTTGATGTTGGGCGGGGCTCGGGCCGGGTCGCACTGTAAAAACAATTTTTCTCTTATTTTTTTGATGGTGGGCCAATAACTCCATGTGTCGACTTTTTATTTGCTGCTGCAGGTAACCCTAAGTGTGGTCTCCAGATTGAATAATTTCTCCTCAAATAGATAGAAGATTTAAATGAATACCATTCAATTTGTTATGTATTTACATATTTAAAATCTAAATTTCAACTTGTAGGTATATATAAGGCTGTCAAAAAAGCTCATTGTTCGGGAACAGTTCGTGTTCGGTTCATCAATGAGTTCGTATTTGATTCGTTTGATAAGTAAACGAGACGAACAATAACTAATTTTTTTTCGTTTGGTTAGTTAAACGAACCAAATACGAACATTGATGCGTTCGTTCGTGTTCGAATCATTATTGTTTGAAATATAAAATAATTTAAAATAATTATATATAAAAAATTGATGATATTTTAAAAAATTAAATTTTATAAATTATAATATATAATAAATTAATAGTAATAATAATATATTAATATACTATATTAGTAATATACTAATAGTCAAATTGGCTCGTCGTTCGCGAACAGCTCGTGTTCGACTCGTTCGTTAAGAAACAAACACGAATAGTGACTTCACGAATAATTTCGAACATGAGCTTATTTCAAACAAATTAAATTTCAATAATATCGAACACGAACATAAACTCTGCTCTCGTATTCCGTTCGTTTACACCCCTAGGTATACATCACCTTATGAAAATCTGTATTTCAATTCTTGAGAGATTTTCCCCCTAAACGCCGCTTCCTCAACCAAGCGGAGGCGTTCCCTTCGATAACGTCGCCATTGTCGGGCAGTAGGGAAACGCAGCTATGGCACAGTTTGCTACACCTAGTTTCATACGATACTGCAGATACGCCTGGTAGGTTTTTTGATCGGAGCAGTGGGGGGTGGGTTGAGGGTGCTGCGGGACTATTGCGCTGGTCGGGTGATGATCGGTGAACTGAGGGCGCAGGCACGGTGTTCCGGTGGGCTATAGGAGCAGAGGGTAGGATATTATGGAGAAAGTTCCCGGAGCATGTGCTATGGAATGGAGTATTGAGCTTGAGAAAGGGCTTCGATCGAAGAAGCCCGGCAAGTGTTCTCAATTTACCCGCTTTTCCGTTAGATTATTATTGGAAGATTTACATACGTACGATTAATTTCTTGCATGTATCTAAATGGTTCTTTATTGTTGTAAATGATCAGAAACAGAGGATGGTTTAATTGAAGTTTGGATGAAAGATGCTCAAAGTGCTCCAAAAATGCTTTTAATATTTTGACTTCCCTGCTAACTTTAAGAGTTGAGTGTAGATCTTCAATGCAGAGTGTTTAAGGTTGAACTGTAAGGATCTTTAGAACAAATCCTTTAGGGAATTTGTACTTGGTTCTACCAAACACATGATGGGTTACATAAAAGCGTGCAAATAAAGCATGATCATTTCTGCTTTTTGTCCGATAATTATGAAGATATGGGTTTTAGGATGATAGCTTCTTTTCTGCTGATTACCTGAGTTAAACAAGGAATTATAGGAATTATTCCATTGTGTGAAATACATCCATTAAATAATGGATTGTAGGAGTTTTTATTTATTTATTTATTTATTAATTTGGATTGTAAGAGCTTATTTTTTACTTTTGATTAGCAAAGAACCACAAAGAAATACGTTATATAAAAGTGAATAGTAATAGTTAATGAGTTTTACAATTTATGAATGTGTAATGAGTATTTTTCCTGTATTTATTGATTTATTATTTATTTTATGTGATTTTTATGCATGCAACATTTTTAAATTTTATGTGCCCTTTAAGCTAGTTTTTTTATAGCTTAATTAGTTGAAAATACATTGTTAGTTTTATTGTTAGTAGTAACGAGTAAGAGGCATGAATGGAATGCACCAATTCTATTTTGAATATTTCCTGGCTGGACTAAAGGCCAATATTAATGATCAACAAATAAATGAAATTAAAAATAAATGCACGATGTAGTCCCTCTATCTCTCTCTCTCTCACACACACACATTTCGTATTTTCTTGTTCCATTCTAACCATTTGGAATCTTGCTTTATATTTTTTTCATTCTTTAGGTCATCATATCGAGGCAATACAACAAATTGGTCGTAAACTTCAACAGTGGAGTATGGAACCTAACATAACCATGGCAATATCGGATGTGTATTGCATGATTCCAGGAGAGGATAGATTATTTGCTAACACAATCATTCTAAGGCTTGCTAATGCATTTTGCAATGGAGATATAGAGGTAAGAAGGTGCATCTTGAAAGTTTTCCTTGTGGAATTGCAGCACATCACCAAGAAGGGAAAATTGTATGACGGTATTTTGGCTAGGAAGCGGGTACCGAATTACTTAGAACTTCTTAAAAGACTGAAATCAGTATATGACGCTGGTGATCTTGAAGCGAAGTGCTTGACTTTGAGGTTGTTTGGTTGTTGGGCTGGTCTAGCGAAGGATAGTTCTCACATATGCTTTTTGATCCTTACTAGCATGCAATCAAACCATGATTCTGAGGTGAGAACATTGTCTTCATTCTGAAAACCTTTCTTTAAATGCACTTCGTTATATGCTTACAGCCTGGAAAATTGAGATAGCATATGTTGGTGGATCTTGCAAATTTCATTTGTTATGATTTAAGCATTTAATCCATCTGGAAATATAATTTGCTTAGTCACCACTTGAATCATGTATGCCGCACGAGTACTCTAGTCCTTTGTAACTGGTGGCAGATTTTTAGGGTAAAGTAGAGCATTGAAAATTAAATGCAGGAAATTCGCTGCAATTATATTGCAGTGTTTCTTATTTAAAGAAGAAATTGCCTCAAAGTTGTTTGCTTCAAACTAAATGAAGCAAAATTGTATCAATCAAACACTATGATATATATTGTTAGACTGGAGCCTTCCATCTTGTGCGCCACGGAGTCAAGTGATTTTATCGAACTCGCACTAAGACTTTCAAATAGTTTGAAGACCTATTTTAGGCGTAGGACTAAAAGTAAAATTTATTCGTTTTATAATTATAATATTTTTGATATAAATAGGGCTTAATATGATCAGGGTTGTGGTGTATGTGATTGTCGTCTTGTTTTAGGAGTTTATGAATTCAAAGAGATTTGACCTACTTCTCGAATTTTAGGTCTATTTTTTTGTGTGTTTAGGATTGTGTTGTTTTGTGTCGGCAGAATAAAAACTCTAATATCGATGAAATTTTGTCTCATTTCTATCATAGTGGTATTCGAGCCATGCTTGGGAGTAATGACAACCAAGAAGGCCTATGCTTTGGAAAAGAAATTAGAAGAGGTGAGCCAACTCGAATCGGGAATGGAGGAGTGTTTCTTGTCCATGGAAGGGCAGTTCTCATCCATAGAGTGCGATTCACTACCCTGGAAGAAATGATGAAGAAACTCACACAGTTGCACTCCAACTCTTCGTCGTATGCGACCATGTCGATGATGGGCGGGATCTTTAGCGTCGTCGCTAGGGGTTGCGAGTTCAAGCTGGAAATACGAGAATAGAACCCCCAACTGCATGATTCACATGCAAGAAGTTATGCAAAGTCGCAGCCTTAGGCTGATTCGATGCCACGAGATCGTGCGACGACAGTTGTGTGGGTTCGAGTGGCATCAGGCGAAATGGGTCGAGCAACATCAAGGGGACTAGAGTGAGTGACAATAGTCGGAATAGGACAGCGGCGTCGATTTAGGGTTTTCAAATATTGATTTGAAGGATTTCGACCTATAACATGGAACCAAGATAGGTGGGACCCCAACTGAGGGATGCATCCAACCGCATCGATGTCTTTTGCTGTGGAAACCACGACAGTATCCGAGATGGAAGGTGATCCAAAGTTTTTGGGGACAAATAAGTTGATTATGAGGTGAGCCAAACTTTTGTAAGAAATCAAATCAATATGGGTCAAGGAAGAGAATCCAACCACAAAATAATCAGTGGAAGAGCTTTGATTAAGAAAATTGGGGAGGAGACTCATGTGTAAGAAAGCCGAAGATGTCGATCTTTGAAGGATAAGATGCGTACGATTGAGTTTATCATGTGAAGAGAAACTTTGTTATTGATGGGCTGATAAAGGGAGAAGAATTGATGAAGTCGACATTAATTTTGTTTGGAAGGGAATGCTCTAACATGGTATGAATGGAGAGAATAGTGTCAATCAATTAGAACATGGAAACAATTCAATGACCAATTGCTAACGCATTTCAGAATCATACGACAAGAGGATTTACTTGAGTGATTTTTTGTATTGGTCCATCAAGAGTTTGTCAGATTATTGAGAGAAATTGTTATGTTATCTAACCTTTTGAGAGGGATATCAATAGTAATATTAGAAGCAAACTTCATGAAGGGGTTGAAACCGGAGATTGGAGAAGTGTTTTGTCTGCTGAAACCGTAAGAATTGGGGAAAATTATGAAATTAACGCAGTTGATTGAAGATAAAAGAACGCAATGGAATTAGCCACTAGGAGCAACACAGTTGGAGCTCCATACCGAAATGCTACAATCATGGTAGTACCGAAAACTCAAATATTAGAATTCTAGAGGGAGGCTCCACGGGATATAAATCATGAGCCACGAATCGAGGTGACTTTCAAACGTCGTACAAAGATAGAGATTCAAGATAAGCGAGCCAAGGGGCTTTTTTCTTCGATATGATGAAAAATTTGTCCTAGAACATCGTTTTAAGAGTCAAACCTTACAAGTTTTCACAGTTTGTGATGGGTAGATAGAGGATGAAAAATTAGAGATTCTAGTGGATGAGTATGAACACCTCACTTGGATGTGGTAGAAGTTTCATTGAACTTAGTGGTAGGATTCACACTAAGCCACACCATGTTCAAGTAGTGGGATTAACACATGAAGTTTTGGAGTAATGAAGGGATGGGACAGGTGTAGAAGAATAGGGGAGTTTGTAAAGGGCTAATTTTGATATTGCGGAATATTCAAGTGTTGGTGGATTTTCTTCCCTTGTGTTTTGGTAGTACTTGCGTTATATTGGGTATGAAATTATTGTAGTTCTTATAGGAGACTGGGATGAATTGGAAACTCCTGACAATAAAGTTTTAGGAGAGAAAAACGGTAGTGTTTCGTGGTGACTCTAGCTTCTGCAAAGTCTTAGTGACACTCAAAATCATGGTTAGGGCAACTCAAGATGTAAGTTGGAATTTTTGGTCGAGTTGCATAGCATGAAAGAGAGAAATGGTACAAAATTGGTAGGGATTCTGGCACCAGTCCAACAACTCCTACAACAGTTTGCAAAAATTTTTCAATTGCCACGCAGATTGCCTTCTTGGAAGGGCACAAGTATGCAATAACAGAGGTTTCTACCATTAGTGTTCTCCCGTACTGTTATCCCTATGTGCAGAAGGACGAAATTGAGAGATGATGGAGTCAGTGATCATACAACATGGCATGAGCCCCTTCTCTAGCTTGGTCTTGCTAGTGAAGAAGAAAGATGAGAGTTGGCATTTCTACGAGAATTACTTGGAATTAAATAAAAACTAACACATGACAATTTTTTTAGCCCAATCATTGATGAGTTATTGGACTGAATTCTTTGGGGCTGTGGTATTTTTCAAGATTGACTTGAAGTTAGGATGTCATCGGATGCGACCATCAGATATGCAAAAGACTATTTTTCGAACTCATGAGGGTCACTACAACTTTCTGGTCATGTCATTAGGGCTCACCAACTCCCCGACTACATTTCAATCACCGATCAACAAGGTGTTTCAACATTTCCTCCTAAAATTTGTGTTGGTGTTCTTTGATGATATTTTAGTGTACAACCGTCATTGAAAAGCCACATTGATTACTTTTAGAAGGTCTTGTCGGTACTTGGTGAGCACTAGCTCTATGCTAACTTGAATAAGTGCTCATTTGCCCAACCAAAGGTGGAGGACTTGGGACGTGCTGTCAACTGCAAGGTTGTCGAATGATCAATCTAAGGTGGAAACTATACTTGATTGGTATCTACCTAAGACTTTGAAGGGGTTGAGAGGATTTTTGAGAATTACAAGATATTATTGGAAGTTCATGAAGGGTTGCGGCTTGATTGTGGGGTCGTTGACGCATCAATTAAAGAAGGATACTTTCAGTGGGTAGAAGTGGTGACTCAAGTTTTTTAGAATTTAAAGAAGGTTATGACAAGTGTTGATGGCTTACTTGACTTAGTCAACCATTCATTATGAGTCAAATGCTTCATATTATGGGTTAAGCGCAGTTCTCATGCAGTTTCAACAACTCATTGCTTACTTTAATCAAGTGTTAAGTGCGAGAGCTAGACTTAAATTAGTTTATGAGCAAGAGCTCATTGGCGATTGTGCTTCTTTTTCATAAATGGTGAATTTATTTATTGGGACGAAATTTTAAAGTACACATGGATTAGTATAGCCTTAAATTTCTGTTATAGCAGCATATGGTGACTGAGGAACATTATAGGTCGCTATCTAGGCTACTATGATATGACTTTGAGATTCAGTATCACCGAGATTAGAGAATATGAGCATTGATGCCTTATCTAAACCGATGGAGTTGCCTTAATTGTTGGCTTTATCAGTCCCTTTGGTTTTAAATTGGGAGATCTTGACGAAAGAGAGTGAGCTAGATGAGGAATTGGGCACGATCCAATCGACTTTATTGAATGGCAAGAAAAGCTATCCTGGTTATTCACCGAATTTCCAAGGTTTATTTTATTAGGGATGCTATGTATTAACCTAATATTCAAGACAAATATCAAAGTTATTACAGGAGTTTCACGGTAGTGCTATTAGGGGGCATTCAAGCGTGCTCAAAACATATCAGAATATAGTGGTAGAATTATATTGGATGAGAATGAGAAAATATGTGGAGGATATGGCTTAAGGTGTGATGCCAACGACGCAAGTGCAGGACGTTAATATCTGGTGGTTGTTACAACATTTGGCATTATCATAGAAGGTATGAGAGGAGGTGACAATGGATTTCATTAGAGACCCACCTCGGTTATAAGGATTTACGATTATCTTGGTGGTGGTGGTGGATCTATTGAGCAAGTGCGCTTCTTTACCCCTCTATTTCATCTCTATATTGTTGTTTCAGTTGCTGTTGTTTTTATTTAGGAAGTTGTCCTTTTGTATGAAAATCCAGAATCGATAGTATCGTATTGAGACAAAGTCTTCTTGAGTTATTCTGGAGGGAGCTATTTAGAATGCAATGGACCGTATTGAAGAGAACTACAACTTACCAACCATAGACTGATGGGTAGTCTTAAATTGTTGATCAGAGACCTATTTGTTTTGATTTGTATTTAGGCAGAATATTGGTTCAACACTCAGTATCATACGCTATTTCATTTTGGATATTACTACGTTGGTGTCTCCGGTAGATCAACACTTCAAAGAAAATGACAGGGTATTGGTGGAATTGAAGGGACTTTTATTGAAAGCTCAATAATATATGATGAAACAATTCGATGGACATCAAATGTATTTACATTTTGTGATGAGAAATAGGGCGTGTTTAATAGAGGTGTAAACTAGCCGAACATGAGCGAGCCCAGACTCAGCTTGTGTTCGACTTGTTAAAAAATATCACTGTTCGTGGTTGGCTTTTTTATGTTTCGAACACAAAAAGTGCGTTCGTTTTTTACTTGTTTGCTTAGCGAGTCGAACACGAGCTGTTTGCGAACAAAAACTCGTTTTGATAAACCTAGTCACGCAGCCGTAGAATGTAAGGATTGGGGCAAGATTTAAATCTTATTAAAACTCTATTTAAATATAATTTAACATATTTTTATTTATTTTTTTGTTAATAATTTTAATTGATTATAAATCTTTTGTAGCCTTGTAGTCAATTAAATTTTTTAAAAATACACTCATCATACACATACAGATACACATACAGATATATATATATATATATATATACACACACACACACACACATGAAGCGGAACATGAACGAATAAATCATTGTTCGTGTTCGACTCATTTATATATCCAACGCAAAAATAGTGTTTGTGTTTGGCTCGTTAACTTAGCGAACAAATCAAACATAAGTTTCTTAACGAGTCGAACACGAGCTGTTTGTGAACAATGAGTTGTTTTGACAACCCATGTATTTAAAACTCGGACCCTATTGCCGAAGATATTGGCATGATACAGGAATAAGAAACTCTCCCCATGCCATTTTGCTCCTTATGTGATCACTGAGAGCGTTGTTGTTGTGACTTATGGTTTAAAATTACCGCCTTCATCAACACTTCATATAGTGTTCCATGTATCACAATTGTGAAGTGCTATTGCTGATAACTGATAATGTGTCCTCTTTTTCACTCCTATTTTGATTGAGGATATAAAAGTTCTATTGGAGCCACTGGAGTTAAAAAGTACTTATCTGGAATCAAGTGGTAAGAAAGCAATGTTGATTATATGGAAATGGTTGCCAGATTATAATACACATGGGAACCATTCAACTTGATCCTGTAGCAATTTTTTTCTCTTCCACATTGAGGACAATATGTCTTATTGGAGGAGAGTAATGTTAGAACAACGTCTTTCGTCTCATGCTCCAATGAACCCACATCGAGCTTGCCAAATAATTTGAAGACCTATTTTAGGCACAAGACTAGAAGAGCAATTTAGTCATTTGTTAGTTATTATTATTGTGGCATATATATGACTTATGATTAGGGTTGGGTGTGTTATTATCATCTTTATTTTAGGAGTTTAGGATTTGGGAGAGATGTGACCTACCTCTCGAATTGTAGATCTATTTTATTTGCATTTGGGATTGCGTTGTTTTGTGCCGGTTGAATAAAATAATTTATTTCACTCTTATCTCTGTGGAAATTACTCTCGTTCCTATCAATTTCTTACTTGTAGTACCCTTTGGAGTTTTTTTTTTTGACCCAATCATATAGCTTTATGTTTAGCGTTATCACTATCCTTTTCAGTTAAACAGGGTTATTAGCTTTGCCTTGAATGCTTTGCAGTGTTCCACTGCATGCTTAACTTCTTATTATTATGATTAATTTTTAAATAGACTATTTAACATTTGGAAACATATTTTATTATGTACAGGTAATGGCATCATTATTTGCTGCTGGTTGCTTTTCTAGATTGTCTGAGGATTTTGCCAGCATTACTCTAAACATACTGACTAGTATTATTTCTTCAATAACAAGATCCCCTGATGTGAGGCTAGCAGCAGTTCGGGCTTTGGCTAGAATGCAATGCTCATTTGCTATTACCAACAAGGCATATCAGGTATTTTATATTCTACAATGCCATGATTTTATAAACTTCAAAAGATTCTTTCAACCATAGATTAAGTGTTCTAAAAACAAGGCATATCAGGTTTTTTATATTCTACAATTCCATGATGTCATAAACTTCAAAAGATACCTTCAACCATAGATTAAGTGTTCTAAAAACAGGTTTAAATCGTTTCTTTATTGATTTCCAGAGATTTACATACATACCACTCAATTTCTATGTGTTTACATATCTAACACTTAAACTTTAATTTTTACACACATATGACCTTCCCTATACATGAAAATGTGTATTCCACATTTTAAAAATTAAAATGGTGGTATTTTTGTGAAAGGTTTGGGTGACATCACTGTAAAACGCAATGTTTTGGTGTTTGATATGTAAATTCGTAGGAATTGAGTGCTATGTATATAAATGCTCCTTTTAACAACTCTTTTCTATATACACCAGGATATTAGAATTGACTTGCAAGCCTATGTTTGTGTTTCTTATTTATGTCCCTAGTTGGAATTTCTTTTTCCTTTGACTGAATCATTTTCGGCAATCAGAAAACTTTTCATGTTCTAAGCAATTAATTTTCAGTAATATGATCAAATTCTGATCATGAACTGTAAGGAATCTGGTAAGGTGGAGATGTTTTTGAAATTTTCCGGCCTTATTATTTTCTTTCAGGCAGCCCAGTTTATGAAAGTATGCCGATTGGCATTATGCTTCAACTGAAATTGGAATTTTTTTTTTTGTTTTGCTAGCTTAAATTGGTATATGTGAATTCCCCCTACCCTAAGATTAGTATCAACTTATCTTTTACCTTACTAACTTCAAAGTTGTAGATTTTAAGTTTCTGTTCTCATATTTTGTTACATTGTTTATTCATAACAGGCTGGTAGGAGAATGTTACTGGATTTGCCATTGGATGATATCAAGGCTGAGATGTTGTCATCACTTTCAAAGCTGGCTTCAAAGACATCTCTAATATTCCCTGATCAGGTTTTGTTTTATTATTTTTTTAGAGGCAGCATTTTAGTTTTCATTTTTTATCTGGACGACAGAATATTTTAATGGGGATTTGACGATGATATGCATATCCATGCATTGTGATTTTTGCTGGAAAACTTCTAGACCACATCTACTGTTTGGTTGAGGTTTGCAGATCAAATGTGCTTACGCTCATTATTTAATTTACACAATTATATGGACAACAAGTATCATTAAGATCCAGTTTGTTTTGACATAAGTGTACTTATTTTGAAGTGATTGGAGTGGATATTTTTGGGTGTATTAATGAGATTACGGCTTGTAGAATTAAATCTTGTAATTTGTAAACGGATAACACCTCTTTGATGCTTCTAATTCTCGACAGCCTGGTGCCATGATCAGTCATTTAGGAAATTAATATTTTTGAATGACATTCAGGTTAGATGTGTTTGGCTGCAAATTAAATAGGCTCAAATAAGTTTTATGATGAAATCAGATGCCACAGTGAATTTTCAATTAAATTGGGAAAGGTAAAAGATGGAGGGCATATCTTGACGATATGTAGAAGTAGATTCTCTTGTGTTCATGGTATTAGAATAGTCATTAAAATTGTAAAGAAAAGCACCAAAGAGAAATATCAAACCTCTGATATGTTTCGGGGATGTAAAAGTGGAAGGGTTAGAAATGGAAAGGCACTAAAGCCTAACATGAATGGAATGTTTCAAAAATCATGTTAGCAATGAAGCTTTTTAAACAAATGCTAGTAAAGAAGGGTTATAAAACTATCTAAGATGCTGGGAATATAGAGATTATGATATGATTTTCTTAAGTTCAATTTATCTAAATTCTCTGGAAGAACTTTGATCCATGTTTTTAGTAGAGAGTTTTTTTTTAATGAACTTGACATGCTTTTTTTAATCATTTGGGGGTTTTTGCATGGTGCTAAAGAATTTGGATAATATACATTCATCTTGACATCGAATTTGATAAAAAATGGACTATATGTTAAGTTCGTTTCAGCATGTATACTAAATTTATACAATCCTAGGAATGTTTAATAGGAATACACTATGCTAGGGACTGAAAATTAGAGATAGTAATAACGAAAGAATAATTGCAATATAAAATCTAGTGATATTGAAATTGACATAACATTGCACAACCTATCAAATATTCTGGACTGCGGTGATGAGTTAGAAAACCCCCTAGGATCAGTGAGGAGGTAGTGATCCAAAAGGCGTAGTGAAGGTTTAACTTTAGCTGGTGTTTTGATAGCTGCATTTACCTGGCAACATGAATGGTAGAATGACTTTACTTGGAGCTCCAACTTATTGTGAAGGGGTTGACAGTCTTGAAATGATGAAGGTGGAAGTCTAAGGTGCGTTTGTTGAATTTTTTCACGGTTGGTTGACAGCCTGAAGGTAAGGATAGCTTGTAGATAAAGCTCTAGTTTGCAGTGAAGTGGTTGATGTCTTAGTTATATGGTTATTTTGTCAATTTCTGGCCATGCTCGGCAATTTTACAGACTGGATCTTGTTTAATCTTTTCATCTTGTAGGTGACTTTTTATTTTCTTGTTTTTATTGATCACTTTGTTTTTAACGCTTTGAATAACTTCTGAACAAGCTTATCACATTTTTTTGGTGAATTTAGCGCTAGTTAATTATTAGGACTAATGCTTGCCATTTCTTTTATAGTTTGCATTGATTGTCGCTCCCCATGTAGTGGGATAAAGCCTTGTCGTTGTTGTATTGATCTTTTTCAGTTTTCTTATTTCTTCAAATAAATTATTTTATTTTTTTTTGTTTTTAAACAGCTTGATTTGCTGCAATCATTCCTAAACCATGAATATCCTGATCCGTTGAAGGCTAGAGCATTAAAGTGCCTATATGTTCTGCTTGGACGAAGTTCCTACCATTTTCCTCTCAGGAAGAATGTTCTTTCTGCAATATTCAGTATCTTCGATGATGATGAGTTTTCACTTGATCTCCAATGTTTAGCTTTGCATATTCTGTGGAAGGTGTTGAGCCCTGGAATTTTCTTTTCCTCACTCTATGTTACTATTTTTTTGTTACTTCTATTAACTTAAAGTTCTTCGTTTTATAGATATTCTCTAATAGGCTACTAAATCTGCCAATCACAGATATTCCTGATTTATTCAAGTTGGTTGCAGTAGTAAAAAATGTGGATACTCCCAAGAAAAAAAGAGGATTTGCTCTTAACCTTCTTGTAAATATTGTGTGCTCCATGAAGGAAGGTGAGAAAGAGCATTTTGCTTCAGCAAATTTGCTCTCCAGCATTGCCCAACTTCGAGATAATTTGCCCTTTGTACCACTGAATTCCAGTGGGTATAGCCCAGCATTACTTATGAGCGATATTTCTTTTTTGATTATGGATCAAGTTAACTTCCTTGTGAAGGAAATAATTTGCAGTTGTAATAATGATCTTAAATGTGTTGAAAATCTGAAGTCTGGCAGTGAATCGTTTGAACTGAAGAAAGAACTCAAGTACTTACTTAACCTTATGTTGCGCCTTGTTCAAGAGGACCCTTCATCATGTTTGGTTGCATTTAGTAAATTAAGATCTATTGTTCACTCTCTGGTAAGTTTGCTTGATGAGGGCAGTGGTAAAACATCCACAGCTTGTGAGGCAGTTTCACAGAAGGAAATAAATGGTGAAAATGATGATATTGGCTTCATTCTTTTGGAGTCTGATGGAGAGCAAATTACTGTTATTTCAGCTCTTATATTGTGCTTTTGCAGGTTCGCAAATGCTTGTTTAAGTATCCTTCATGAAACTAACTCAATAAGCAGTGAAATGCGACATATACTAAAGGATGTTGTTAATTGCATTAAGCAGTCTGGATATTCTTGCTATAGTTCATTTGAATTATTTTGTCTTAGAAGTCATTCATTTTTATTTAATTATGGTTCTAAAGAAGGTGAAGGGAATAAATTAGAAGGTGGTGATGAAATATGCAGCCCATCTAGTATTTTCTTGCTCCATCAGGAGTGTCTCGCACTTGACTTCACTAAGAAAATGCTGCAAAGGGGTTATTTCTGGGAAGTTTATAGAGCTGGAAAATATTCTTGTTTACAAGGTCTCTGGTTTTCTGCCACCCTTTCTTTTCGTAAGCTAATAGATGTTGTAAAACACGGACGTTACTTTAACTGGATTAAAGCTTTGATGTTATATGTTGGTGGTGAAAGTGAAATAAAATTGCTGATTTTTCCCAAAGTTGGTTTTGAGCTGATTAACAGCTTCCAGTTTGCAAGTGATAGTGACCAGCCTTTTAGCTACGGTAGAGGAGAAGCAGATGCATGCGTTGGTGATCATTATGATTGGAATGCTTTTAGGGGAAATCTTTCTAGGGTTTGCAGCAGAATTTTCTCTTCTGAGAAAGCCTTGGAAGTGACTGCTGATAGCAATGGTTCCTTATTTTTTCAGAGATTTTTTCTATATGTTAGAGGCAAGTTTCTTGAACTTGTGCTGGAGATTCTTGGCCTTCTGAGCTTTAATACACTTGCTAAGGATAAATTTGAAAACGGTACTATATTTAATCCTTTAAGGGCTACAGAAGTTATGCATGATATGCACGTGCTTGTATGTGCTTTGAATAGGGCATCTCTTAAGCTCAATAATTTAGCTAAAGGCTATGATCTTCTGGCTACATCTTTCATGGATATTGATGCAGTAAGTTTTAGAGGTATCTCAAGGCTTGGTGTCGTTTGTTCCACACTTGCCTTCTGCACTTCTTTTGGTACCAATGTTTTAATCTCACCTGCGTTCAGAAATATCATGTCCTCAAGTGCAAATAATCTCAAAGTTTTTTGTAATCTAAATATTGTACAAGATTTAGTTGAGCGTTTATGGGATATTGATTACACAATCACAAGAAAACTCATGCATTGTATCTCGGTTAAAGGCAAAATTAAGCATGGGTTATGCTCCAGAATGAATGTCCATGGTTCTAACTTATTTGACAATGATTCTTTATCGCTTATTCAATCTTCAATAAATGGTATTCTTTGTGTTCAAGCTGATTTAGAAGTAGTTAAAGATGTGGAGATTCTAATTTCAACTTTTCTACTGGGATTGCAACATCTTTCCTCCTCTATTAGGAAATGGACAGGGATGCCCTTAGTCACTCCCAAGTATTTTTTTAATGTGAGGCAAGTGAATGAAAATACAACTTTATCTGGACCTTGTTTTATACTTCAATTCCTCATTTTTTTTAATTATACATTACAAATTTTCTCTTTCCAATTGAAATGCCTCTTTGTTACTTGCAAGCATTAAATCATCATTCTAAAGCTAATCCCTTTTCTTTTCTCATTCAAGCCTATTATAACCAACGTTTCTATGGCCAAGAATTGGCTGTTGGTAAGGCCCAACATGAGATTTACTCCAATGAGAATGGGGCAACGTAATGCCAGCTAGACGTGGCAGTCCTGGTACGCGACAGCGGTATAGTGGATAGGAGTGATCTGGTTCGGTTTGCAATAGTTGTATGGAAAATATTGCCGCTTGTAGCAAACACCAACACATTATGTAATATGATTAGAATCTTGGGTCGAGTGTCGCTAAAATGGCATTAACATCTAGTGTGGTTTCTCTAGAAGAGCTAACGGATTTGTGTGTTATAATCATAAAATTGAAGTATCGGTGCTAAATATGCAATATGGAGGTTATGTATTGCGTGTGAAACATGTAATTTTTGAATTATCTGCAGTATTTGTGCGAGTGTTAAGCTGCTTTTCACTAATTTTGATAGATTTTTTTCCTCATACCACCTTGTAAAGCATTGATTTTCACAGCTAGGTGGTTTGGTTAATAATCCTATTGATTTGAACCCGAGTAATGACAGTAAGTTTGGTTGTCTACACATATTGAGTAGATAAGTTGTAGTTCATGTGATGTGTGAAGGGAATGCTGTTCTATGATTTATTTACTTATGTAGATCCTTAATGGGTTAATGTTTTCATGCTGCAGGCCTTGTATTGGTTCAGAGCTTTTTCTTTTCCATGCAAACTCTGAACATAAAGATGAACTACTTGTCAGAACTGGTTTCCAGTTGCCATTGAATCTTTGCATTCAAGTTAAGAACGCAACAGGCATGAAGTGTGCTAACATAGCTAAGATCTACTGTGTTCTTGCTGTACGATCATCCGATCGCTTCACTATCGGAAGTAAAAGAAGGTTGGACCCTGCGCAATGTGTCGTTCAAGATCATAAAGCTGAGGACATGTTATGGTTAAGTGAGATTCTACAGCTTCATTTGAGAGCCGAAACTGACGAGATAGGTAATGAACATCAGGACGCTGTAGATAATGACAGCCTGATAACTACTTTTGCCAGTTTTGTTCCCAACAAGATGGGATTGGGATTTTCAACTTGCTTGCTCAATGTTTCACATTTGCCTGAGGGTTCTTATCATATTAAATGGCATAGTTGTTGTGTTGATGATCGTGGTTTTTATTGGAATTTGATACCTTTGAACAATGAATCTGTGTTTACTGTAAAGAAGAGTTGATGCTGATGTTCTCAAGCATCTACAAGCATTCTGATTTCTACAAGAGGTATTTCTCCAACAATGTCATCTTAACAATTTTGTATATATTCCCATGTTTTCTTATGCGTAGAGAACTTATGCCAGCTGAAGTGAGAAAATTATTTGCAAAGTTAACTCAGCTGTTTACAAAGAGAAAAAAGGGGAAAAGAACTAATTTATTTTGGCGAATGATTTCTTTTTTTGTTTTATGAGTATTTGTAACTGTTTTTAATTATATTTGTACATGTGTCTTTAATTTTGTTGTATCATACTGAGATGTTTGTTATAGATTGGTTTATTGCAATATATGTATAATTTGGTGCTGTGACATTTTTCCTCTTGGATAGTATAACTAACCAGGATTTAAAAATAGACGAATGGTTACCACCTGGACTGACATACATTTTTGTGTCGAGATTAATGACCTCATCAGTTTGCATTTCGGCTCAATGCATTTTGAATAGTTTTTTTGTTGCATTGGAACATTGTGGACATTGTGAATGATGGTGTAACAGAGAGCAGCAACGAAATAATGGAGGATAACCTCCACCAACATTCGGTTGTTTTCTAAGCTGTAGTAATTAATAAACTTTAATTTTTTTTTGAGATTATAGCATATCTTAATCTAGTTTAGTGGGCTGAAGCATATGGGCTGCATCAGGTCTACTTCACTTTAAGAATTTGATTATGTTGACCTTTATATCTACTTCATATGGTGATATGGTCGAATACATCAATCATGTTTGAATATGGTCAAATACTTCCAGTGCACGGGCTGTCCACTTCTATAGAAGAATAGGCTCTTTTGTAGAAGCGAACGGCTCGTGCTCTGGAGCAGACGCTGGCCCAAGCTCCTCTTTAGTCAGGCTTTCTTTGAGGACTTCCACCTTTGTTTGTGTTGTTGGTGCAACTCGTGGCCTTGGAGAGGGCTGGTCTCCCCTCTCTCAACAAGCAGAATGAAACCAAAGAAAGACGGCTGGGAAGCTACCCGAGTTGATTGACATTCAGAGGATTCTTCAGCATCCGATCCAAGGATGTTTGGTGTTGACTCCTATTGACGAAAATCCCTTGAAGGCTCTAGATTCATTAAAGAGGGTTTTCGTTCGATCATAATCAATTCATCGATGATATTGTTTTGAATAACTATAGGTTTAAAGGTAGAATAAATTAATTATGAAACTTGGATTGTCCCACCTGCTTGATTGTCCTTGGCCTCTTCCCTCCTTGATAAGGAAGCGTTGCCTTTCTTCTTCCTCAGCTTTTTCCTCAACAATCGTGTAGTTTTTTCAATATGCCTTTTTCTCCTCCGTCTCATCAGAAGCGGCCCACAGTTCAGGGGTCATGCCCTGAATTGGGCATGGTTCAACAACTAGTTCACTGTCATGGGGTCAGTATACTGGATGATCGACATGTGTTTACCCATGACAATTTGAGCAAGCCCAGGACCCGTTGTGAGACTCTTTCCTTCTTCTTATATGGTCCTTCGACCGCCTAGTGATTCCTTAGTCCTTGCAGACGCTCTGGAGGAATTGGAACTTCCAATCCTTGATCTTGTTCTCCAGATTGATCAAGTGGAATTTTTTAGTCAAGCCAAGCACAACGCGACTGTTTGACACCACTATGAAGGAAAAACATATAGGAGAACAACTCCTGGGACCAAGATATCTCCATCTATCATAAACAAATGATGAAAGTCATTACCATCGTGATCGAGTTTAGCTTTATTTGCATGAGGATGACTCCATAATGTTGAAGCTCGATTGTGTCTCATAGTAGAATGGAAGTCAAAGTCCTCGCCGAAACTGATCCTTGTAGAAGTTTAGATCATCTCCGGAGTAGTTAGTCGCCCTCACCTCCTGCTCCATCGGCTTGAGCACTACACTTGGGCTGTATACTCAAGTGTCTTCCAAGAGATTAGCATTGAATGATGTGAGGGTTGACCATTCAGTCGTTGATTTTGAACTGAATAATTGTGGAGAGTATTTGAAAGTCATTGGAACACAAGAAGAAAGCGAACCCAAGGAAGAGACAGAAAACAACTGATGAAAAGAAAAAGTGAAATATGAGAAAGGTTCAACCCATCTTCCCTTTAACCCTATATATAGGACGTCCAAGGAATTCTAAATGCCTCGAATCCATACCTCAATCTTCGGAATTCACATCAAATTGACGCGAAAATTAATGAAACAAAATGATGAAAAATTATGAAAATTCACAAAAACTAAATTTTTATTTATGATAAGAAATATTTTATAGATAGGTCTTTGGCCGCCTCAAGCAATACAAGACTTTGGTACAACACATCCCCCCTAGCTTAAACTTTTTCACAACTTCTTCCTCCGCTCGAATCCCAGAGATCGAACTAGTCGCCCAGACCTCTGTTAGCTCCATCCGAAGAGTCGCCACCTCCATCCAGAGAGTTATCATATGTGCATAAAGGACCGACAGCTCTCCCCTAAAGTTTGATATGGATATCTCCCTCAAAAGACCAGTTTTGCGGGTGGAGTTTACATTTCATTCATCCGGCTGGCCAGAAAACATGACATAAATAATAAAATATGCAACATTCCTATTAAAAAGTGTAATAATGACTTGTAACGTCCCTATTAAAATAGAGATAAACATTTAACTTTATTAGATATCGCTAAAACCTATAAGGGATATTTTTTTTCAATAAATGACTAATGAATTCATTCTCTCAAAACTTATGTTATCGCACTATATTTTTCTCTCTTTCTATTTCTTATTTCTCTCCTCCATCCAACGCTCTATATTTTAGGTATAATCCACAGGGTATTTTTTAATTCAATATATATATATATATAATAGTATGTTTAAGAAGCGAAAGAAAAGAGACATTTACATGCATATCATCGAATCTAAATCTTATGTACTACATATCTAATATCTAATAAGAAGCCAAAGAAAAGAGACATTTACATGCATATCATCAAATCTAAATCTTATGTACTACATATCTAATATCTAAATTTTATTTTTTAAATTCCTACTATCAAAATCATTCGTATCATCTTAAAATTATTATCACTTTTATTTCTTTTAAAAAATAAATACTGTTTTTCATACACAAATAAGATTATATATAAATAAAAAATAAAATTTATGTGCTAAGATATATAAATTCATATGAAATGCGTGGTATGCATTTACATCTTCTTTTCAAAAATTAAGCCAAAATCTAATTTTTCTTATCACAAAAAAGATTTTTATTCATAGTTGAAAATTTATTAAAATAAAATATATTGTAGCCTTTTTCCCGTCCCCGCAGCTCTCTTCGCACGTGATACTCCATTGCACGGAGGTCCATAGAACTGGAGCCTAATGTTGTCAACGTCGTCGATAACGACACCATGGCAAAGAGCAAGCAGAGAGAGAGAGAGAGGAGCGGGCTTCTCTGTTCTCATGTGTAGGCCCTTTTCCCCGACCGCAAACCCAGCCATGCTTTTAAAGCAAGCATATCACTCCAGGCCCCGGACCCATGAAAAAGGCACCACTTTTACTCCTCTCTGTCTCTCTGTCTCTCTCTCTCACTTCCCCTAACCTCCAACCCTACACGTCCTCCTTTGACTCAGCTTTCCCTTCTCTTCCTATATACATGTTACCACTCCCTTTACGCCGCCCGGAGCAAAAGAAATGGAGGTGAGTCCTTTTCTTGCTCAAAGATCAGATTTTTAACATCTTGCATACATTCCATGTTTCTGCAAATGAGAAGTCACATTTCATGTTTTGCTGGCAGGAGTTGTCTCAAATTCCTTCTTTTGGGAGCTGGCACTATTCCTTTGGTGAGGAAGATCTCTTCCAAGTTCCCGTGGCCATGCCGGTGAACTCTGCTGACCACTACGGCCACCATTCTCATAAAAAGGTGCGGCCTTTGCAGCTCTGTGTGATCCTGTGTTTCTATCTTAAATTTTTCTTTGGATTTCAGGCGAGAAATCAAAAGAATGACCATGACTTCGCGGCGCAAATGCCATGGAGGAGCAGAGCTCCCAAGGCAGTGGATGAGGATTTGTACAAGATTCCTCAGGAGCTTCTCTATCAGAAGCCCAAGAGGGTATCTCTTTCTCTTTTTGAGCATCTGAAATTTCAACTCAGGAGTTTCTCTATCATTAAGATTCTGTTTTCTTGCAGAAGAGGCTTATGAGGAATTTGTTATCCGGGTGTCTGGGACTCAGCTGCATCCCCTGAGCTTGTAATGGAACCATGCCATTTCTCATCCTGCTTGTTGTCTTCTCTCTGGTTTCTTTATTGCCATCATTCATTTGAGTATGAGATATGGAATATATTCCAGTTGTTGCTTTATTTGTATTTTATGTTTGGATTTGAGTATGAGATATGGAATTTATTCCAGTTGTTGCTTTATTTGTATTTTATGTTTGTGTTCGGTCTACATGCAAAGAAGTCAAATCCAGAAAGAGTGCTTTGTCGATTGGTACTGAAGTGGAGTGATGAAGCTTATTTCTGTTATGTGTAACACGAAATGCTATTAATATGATTTGTTTATATGCGTAAAAATGATTTATTACATTTTTTTTCTTAAAAAGATTGGCTGAGGCTATTATATCAGCCCCAGCTACCTTATGTCGAGGACCGCCCTCATTACCGACAAACTGGTCAGAGTGGAATTCAAACCCGTCATCTGAGGAGATTTACGACCTTCAAAAAAACCGCTCTACCAACAGATCACGGTTGGCGACACATAAAATGTTTTATTACATATTCAGAGAATAAAGTGGGAAAACAATTTGTGATAATATATCTGAGATTATTTTAGTCCTAGAGTTTATAAAGATGTCAAAATATTTATAAATTATTTAAATTATGGCCGAAATACTCTTCATGAAAGACTCTTAGAGCTCAATTCTAAAATAGTCGGAGGCATTACTCACTATTCAAATGAGAATATTTCAACACAATTTGTACATAACAAAGTTGGATCTTATTTCTATATATGGGGGACCTTTCACATGATTGTAATTGCTTAGAATGAGTTAGATTTTATCAGCACATGTCTTATCAAATTATATTGGTATGTAGTCACAATCGAATATGTTGGACAAAATATCATAATAGATTACTAATAGTAATGCAATAATAATACCTGGTTCTCAAGTGCTTGAACTTTCAATCAAGTCTCAATGTTTAATGCCTTGCATACATGATATGCATGTATTTGCAATTAAATCCTCTCAAATTTCAAAACTAATATCAATATTAATCTAAAATAAAGAAAGAAACATCTTCATCTATAACCATATATATATATATACTTCCATACATGAATGCAAATGGCTTCAAACATCTAAAAATGGTGGCCTAACAATATATCCTTTTTCACTCAATATGAAAATTGAATGGTGAAAAAGGTTTTCTCAAATAGTCAATTAAAAGTTTTATTTTTTATTTTATGTTGGCTAAAAAATGGTGAGTTATGAAACTTTTCTTAGTGGAATGCATCTTGGAAGGATGCATTTTTTTGCCATTGAAGGATGGTGGCAAAGAAAGCAACTTATTGGAATTGATAGGATACTAAAGTAGTTCATTTTATATATTGCACATATCTGAAAGCTATTTAAAATTTAAATTTGAGGCCATTTAATATTTTTTTCAGCTTATTGTGGAGATAATAATGTTTTAAGAAACAAATTTAATAATATCAAGTTTTCGTAGGGTTCATTTTGAAATATAACAGGTGCAAGGGGTTTGAAAAAACTTGAATTTTGGTTGGAATTTTGAAATTAAGAAAAATTTTGTATTGAAATTTTAGGGAATTATAGATTGAGTTCACAATTTATTTATAGTACACTCCAAGCTTTATTGATTTAATTGAGTTTTGAATTCACATTAAGCAACAATCATTATTGTCGCCCATAATTGTTTGCCACCAGCACCAACCTTATCATTAGCCCTGCTATCATGTTCATCTGTTATTGAAGTCTGTCGACAGCCATCACCAACTAGTATATATCGTTTCTGTCAATGAACTTTACAATGTGATCATTTAAACTCAAACCAAACATTGATAAGAAACATTCAACATTTACTTTACACCTATCATTTGATCCATGATAAATGAGCATGACAAACATCATTTCTAATCTTTTTTTTACTGTATAGAATCCAATCTCATTATAAGAACTCATTTGTATATTCTTCTTGATGTCTTCCTTAGTGATTATAAAATTAGATTAAGTTAAATTCCATAAGATTCTATCATTCTGTCTCCTATAAATAGGGAAACCAGATCATGTAATAGGAGCTTTTGGAGGGCTTTTTGCTTTTAAACCCCTCTCTTATATCCTCTATATTCAATGATATGAAAAGGGTCAGAAGAGCTCGGGAATAACCCAATTTGCCCCAAAGGGGAAAGTCACGACACACCCCTCCCCCCCCCCCTCT